TAGTCCTCAAAACATAGCCTTACAGGCAGATAATGCTGTGATCTCCATTTCACAGATAAGGAAACTGAGACTTGGAGAATTGACTAATTTGTCCCAGGCTACTCTAAAAGTCCAGATTGGAACTCAGACAGTCTGGCTCTAAAATTCCCATTCTTAACCACTACACTATTATAGTTTAATTTATAGATTAACTAGTTAGTGTCCTAGATGTAGTTACGACCATAGGCTTTTAAAATATTTTTTAAGGACCATTATTTGGGAGTACAGTTGTTAAAGTACTGCATTTTTTTTCCTAAACACATCTCTAAAGTGAAAAGAAATCTCCACAAATAATTTTGAAGTTTTTAATGCACAAAAGAACATCCCAGAAACAGAACAGGTACTGACTTATTAACGATAAAGCACTATATAAAGGAGACCCCCTCCCCACTTGGGAATATAGTGTACATAGTCATGAAAGGAGGTGAACACTTCAGGATTAAAATGAGAACCCTAAAGTTGTATACAACATTCATATATGGCTTATCTCACAGCAACAGTATTTTCATAATGATGTATATGACATTTATCCTTCTTGGTAAGATGCTTTTTTTTTTTTTTAACTCAAAAGTTAAACAATGAAGAGGTAGTTTTGCCAATGCAAGCTAAGAAAACGGTTTTACCTTGCTTTGGTGGTTTCCTCAGAAATCTGCAAGCATTTCTTTTTTGTTCTAATTTTCTCCTGGAAGATAATGATGCTTTTAAAAACTGGTTCCCCCAAGTGGACAATGATGGATATGAAATAGATTCTGGCTCAATGAAGACCTGTTAAGATCTGACCAGCAGTCATAGGAATTCACCCTGTTGTCTTGTCATTCTATGCATAGACTCGTGATGGTAACTTCTTCAGTGACCCAAGAGTATTATTAGGTGCCCTGTCATTAAAAGTCAGTAATTGCTTAAATTAAAAAAATTGAAGTCAACTAAGATTGAAAAATTCTGTAGCTGGCATGTGAAATTGCATGATGAGTACTACAAGTGACTGCATGTAATTTCTCATGTTTTGGGTTGTGTTTCTTAAAGTCATCACATCTTAGACTCAAAGGGAGTTTTGCCAGATGCTGCTTTGTACGTGTGTGGGATACATGGAGTGGGGAAGGTCTGTTGATGTTCAAACTCTTTGACACTGGTCATTTGACTATACACAAAAACTAGTTTATCCTATTCTTACAATGAGAATTAAGCCGACAAAAAAAAAGTTTCAAGAAGTAACAAAACATTTGTCAAATTTGTCAATTCGCAAAACTAGAACAGTCATTTACCAGACAATGGTTAGGACTCACTAGAAACAAAGTGACATCATGTTAATCAGGTATGACGTCTTACACACAAGAAAGCATAAATATACAGTAAATAAGAGCTTGATACATATAGCCCCAGCAGAATATGTACATATTAGGGCTGCTGTGAAACTGAGCAGGAATTTCTGGAGCACATCTCCAGCTAAAAGCAGTTTCATCGCACAACAGTATGGAGGTAACAGATGCTGAGAACACCATGTGGTAACACTAAGCAGATACCCACGAACATGTATCCTTGAAAATGCACACTGTGAGAAATAAAGGTCACGAGTGAATAGCACTTTGCCTGCCGAGAGCATCGTCTTTCACATAAGTAGGCACATGTCCGTTCTCCAGTGGTGGTCTGCAGCTCGCACTTCCTGTGTGCCCACGGCGCCAGGGGTGGAGTCTCTCAGCACACACTAAGCCAAGTCGCAGGGCGTGCACTTACTGCTGCCTTCACACTCTCCAGATTCAAATCAAAGCATAAATAACACAGAGGTCACGCTTGGGGTGCTTCCTTTCACCATGTTACTGGGAACAGATACTGGTCAGAGCAGCACAAACGCTGCACGCCAGTGCAGGAGTGGAGAGTAGCTTTGTGCACTTTTGCAAAAACAGAAACCCCCCAAAATCCACCATGTGTGTCTTTTATTTTACTGGTTAGCTCTGTCTGTAGCTAGGAAGACACTGTGTTGCTCCTGGGCTCTTTCTATCAGCTTCCTCTTCTTTTTCTTGTTCCTCTTCTCCTTGGCCTTGGGTGTTCTCTTCCCTACAATGGGGGAAAGAGAAAGAAATGAAAAGATGTCAGAAAAGGCTCTTTCTCTAGGAAAGAAAACACAAAACAGTGAGATTTTTGCACAAAGCCCATCTGGAAAACATCACCTATGGAAAAAGCAGCCTCAAAGAGAAAATTGTTCACATTAATTTTGACGGAATAATAATAATTTACTAAATTGGATATGCTGTCTAAAACAGAGACTGATCTTCCTGTTACAGGGAACTGGCATATTTAAAAACCTCCCAGTGGCCTGATCAGTCTTTCAAATATCATCCTGCCACAAAAATGCTATTTACCCTCCTACTTTGAACAATGCTACCCTTTACTAGACATCTTTACATCTTTCACTGCTCCACATGTCAGTAAGTCAAAAGAAAATAAGCATCTATCTACAGTAAATATACCAGAAGTTTCAAACTCCCTTCTCCTTGCCCATGGGGAAAAAGAGCCTTGCTTTTAATGTTATTCCTTTCGTGTTCTCCAAATGCCAATATATGAAATGACATATGTACAGTCCTTTTTTATTTTCTATTAAAATTCATGAGGACATCATTCGTTATATGCCTTATGGCTTCTTATCCAAATCCCCTGCACAACTTGTTCTTGTTTTTAATGGAGAGCAAGAAGAATTCCCATTTGTTCTGATGAACTGGTGGTATATGTCTTACTACCAGAAAAATCACACCAAGTTATCCTATTTCTCCTCTTTGCCTTAGCCACTAGGAAGTCCACACCACAAGCTAAATAGTTGAGGTTTTCCTCCAACAGGAAGTTGCGGAAGCAGTTTTTTCTTTGCCTCAGGTATATTTTACTTCTTCCATCTCGTGGTTATGGTTTATAGTCTTACTTTATAAAATCTCAGCATTTCATTGCAAGTATATATATAGGTGTGTATATGTGCGTGTACATATAAAGATTTTGAGAGAAAAAATAAGGAACAAAAGGTGTTTATTTTAGGTACATTGCTTTCTTTGGGTTCTAAACACATAGGAATCATGGGATTTTTTTAGGGGTCTTCTGCATTTTACAGAAAGAAGGTCACCACTATACACCTTCAGTACAAGAAGATTTTTCAGAAATAAGAAAGAATCCTGTCAGATATTCTTCAACTCCTACCTGCCCTACTTCCAATTTTATGTCACAGTCCTACAAAATTTTCTTTTCCTGTAAGGTACAGCTATTAGACACTGCAATAATCAGTACTATAAATAGGACATTCAGTTTCATGGACTTTATCCTTCCCACACCTGTGAAACTCAATATTCCAGGCCCTTTTACTATAAGGATGTAGCTGTCCAACTTTTCGATCCAGACAACGAAGAAGGTGGCTGATGTAAAAAATGAAAAAGTAACAGACCAAAGATTAAGGACATAAATGCCTGAGGAAGCCAGTCATACAACATTGAGACCATGAGATTTCTTAATAAGGGAGGTGTTTCTCATTTCTATTCTTTCTGATCAAAAAGGCTGTGTTTTGAGAATGGAAAACAGTCTCACTCCTCAAGACCCCAGCACAGTGACTGGCACTTACTTGATAGGCAATAAACGTTTGCTGAGCAAAAATTTAAATTACAAGAAAACAAAGAAAAAAAGAATAACTTATTTTTAATAGGACACTACATTAAAACAATGAGAACATAGTCATGTCCCTATATTAAATTATAAAGGTCCTTGAAGTTAACTTCTGGTTTTCATTAAATTCTGGCATTAATGTAATAATGGCATTTTGCCATCTTTAAACGTAGTTAATCCTACCCAATGAAACCCTAGTCTAAGCCATCATTAATCAAAGCAGCTGTAAAGTTACAACTATTTAGTAACATTATCTCTAATGATGAGACACACCTAATGAGGGCAGAAAGATGAAATACTTGACTGAAAATAGCATATTTTAAAAGCTTCAATTATAAAGTTTTATGAAGACGTTTTTCTTCATTCCGTATTTTCTCTAAACAACAAAAATCCTTAGTTTAAAAAAAAACATTGCTGACTACACTTTAAAAATTCATTTGGTTTATGCTTAATTTATATAAAAAATAGATTTCTTTTAAAAGCAAATTGAAATTAAGTGAATGGAAAAATAAAGCTAACATTACTAGATGTTTAAATGTGTCATGCTAAAATAAAAATATACTGAGTATGTTATCCAAAGAAAGCTTTTCACATTCACAATTTCAGTCCTTCATATAAATTACGTTGTTGAAAGTTCAATGTGTACTACTTTCACTAACAGCAAATCTATGCAAAATGACTGGAAACTCATTTTAAAATGACGGCCAATTTTGTGTCATTTACCCAACATGTTATTCTGATGTAATC